GCCCTGGAGAGGGAGGGAGGAAGGAAGGAAGGAAGGACGGACACCCATCTTTCAGCAGCGAACCTGCGGGCACCCCTCCCCCCGGCGCGCGCGCGCGCGCACACACACACACACACACACACACGCTCACACACGGGCGCGCGCACACACACACGCTCACACACGCGCGCGCACACACATACACCCTGGTCTGGCGCAAGGGAAGGGAATCACGCAGTCCTGGGTAGGCCCGCGGAATCCGCGAAGAGAAGACACCCGCCGTGGAGGAGTTGGAGCGGCCCCAGCCCTGGGCGCAGTGGCGCAGGCCTGCGTTCCTCTGGTGGGGAGCGCGCTGGGGAGGGACTGTGTTAACCTTAACCTGCCCTCTCAGTGCCCAGGCTCCGGGTGCGGGGACTCAATGTAAGGAACCAGTGAGACTGATTTTCCTTCGAGAATAATGAAAACGAAGTGGGAAGATGGCTAAGCCTCTACATTCAGCCTGGGTTGTCCCCAGAGGGACCCGACACTGTGACCACCTTTACTTCTTGTCTGCCCTCCTTATGGAAGCAGAGTTTCCAGGAGTGAGGTTCTTCACCCAAACTCTTCTATCAGGCAGAAGGAGACAGAGGCTGCGAACGCTTTGGGGCAGGGGCTCTCTTGTGAGCGCTCCAGGTCAGTGAAGTCGTTCCACCCCTGCACAACCCAGGGCAGGAGGCTCGCCCCAACCCACCAGCTCCATTGTGCAGGTGGGGAAAATGAGGCACGGAGGGGTTGAGGGACTTGCCCAGAAGTGGCAGAGGTGGGGTTTGAGCTGGGTAGTGTGTCCCCAGGGTCTGTGTACAGCTGAGTAGGTGGTCCCTGGGTTGGGGGCGGCTCTTATCCTAAAAGGGGGCAGGATCTCTCGGGTGGGTCAGAGCCCAGGCTGGGCCTGCATGGCAGCTGCTGTGACAGAGAGACCCATGGTACCTGAATTTGAACCTGGACGGCGCCTCGGAATCACCTGGGGATGTTTGACAAGTCCGTGTCACAACCGGCCACGAGCGGGCTGTATATTTTCATGTGCAGCGAAGTTGGGGAACCTGAGTATCTGGCAGAACCTGTGACCCTGTCATATGCTCGTAGATCACCGGGGGTCTCGTTAGGCTGCAGATTCTCCTTGCCCGCGGGGTCTGAGGGTGCCTTTGCACAGCTCCCTGCTGATGGGCCTTGCTCCACTGCGCACCAGCTCTGGAGAATCTAGAGCGCTTGGGAGGTGGGAGGAGATGGGATGTGTTCATTCATTCATTCATTCATTCATTCACACGCTCCTGCCCCCCCAGTGTTCATTGGCCCCTTAGTCTGTGCCAGGCCTTGGGCTGGGCCACTGGGGACGGAGCGATAAACAAAACACAGTTTCTGCTTTGTGGAGTGTAGGCCTTTCCCACAGGAGGAAAACCATCTTCCCCTGAGTTTGGGGAACAGGTGTCTGTAGATAAGGAAGCAGGAAGGAGAATTAAGGAGTATTTTGGGGAGCTGATCGGCGCACTTAGAAATGGCCAGCCAATCCTGCTGAGTCCTCGCAGGGGGCATTTCTACCGGGCTTTGCACAAACTCAGCTTGGGCGGTGGTCTGTGGGTCTGACTGGCCTTTAGGCCTGGGGCTGGGAGGACACCTGGGGGGGGGGGTTGTCGCCTGCTGAGCAGGGCAGCGTGTACACGGGAGGCCTCTGTGGGAGGACAGCTGTCACAGTCAGAGAAACTTGGCTCTTTTGACAGTATGTTTAAAAAAAACATGGAACTTCACGTCACCTAAAAAAATGAAGAATTAAGTATGTGGAGGTTTGCCCAGGAGGGTTTGCTGCTCCAGCCTGAGCTCAGAGGGTCAGCTCCGTCAGCCGCCCCCCACCGGCCCCGTGCGTGCAGACACCAGGGATTTGCACCGTGACTTCCCAGCCAGTGAAAATAACCATGTTATTCTGATGGTAAGTATAATAAGGCTCTTTGTAAAAATGAGCACAATATAGAAAATACAAGCATAACTCCTTCTATATGTATGTACATATACATACATACATACATATATATTTTTTTGGTATCTAATCCTCTTGACTTTTATTCGATGCTAATCTGTTTACCAAAATGGGCTTCTTGCAATGCAGGCTATCTGAAATCTCACTCCGGCTCGCCTCACTTAGCGGTGTGTGGGACCATGTCCTCATATTACCGTGAATTTGATGAATAGATTTTTCATGGTTGGGCATCTAGGTTGTTTCCGATTCATAGTTTTGGGGAATAACACTGCACTAAATATCTTTGTGTATACACTTCCCTCCCTTGGGAATTCCTGTGTATACACTTCCCTCCCAGGAATTCCCTCCCTTGAATTCCTGAAAGTGGCCTTTCTAGGTTAAGCAGTGTGCGTATGAAACATGGGTACATATTACGCTAGATTTCCAGAGAGGTCTTTTACTCTGTGCGTGGCTGTCATGGGCGGACGAGCCACCCACTTCACCCACCTGTCACGCCTGGATATCGAGAGTCTCCACCTCTTGAGCATTGCCCGTTTGGGAAGGGTAAAATGATATCCCCTTCTTGTATTAATTTGCACTTCTTTTATTGCTTGAGAGATTCGACATTTTTAAATGCTTATGATCTTTTGCATTCCTTTTGTGCGTTTCTTATTAACACCTTTTTTCAGATGTGTTAATATTTTTCTTGTAGATTTGTCACCGTGTTTCATATATGAGGGATATTCACCATCGGCCATCATGCACCTTGCGAATAATTTCCACAGTCTGTTGCTTGTCTTGAATCCTGAATGTATCTACTATGCCTAAATACCACGCATGTCTTTATAGGGGTTGTAAGAACTTTTACAATTTGAACTGTACACAAATCTTTTTCCTTATGGTTTCTGACTTTGGACTTCCCCTACCACCCCCAGGCTGTGTCCCAGCTCCTTCAAGATTGAAACATACTTGCCCATACTTTCTTCTCTGTTTTTATATTTCATTTTTCCATGCATAATTTTAATTAGGAGTTTATTTTTGAGAGTGAGGCTGGGATCTGGTTCATTATTAATTTTTCCTGATTTCCCAAATGTCTGGTAAGTTGTCCCAAAACCACTGGTTTGAATAATCCAAATTCAACCACTGATGTGAAGTAGCATCTTCATCGTACACCAAATTCTTAACTATACTTGGGACCATTTCAGATGCTAGTTTTTGTCCTGTTGTTTTGTCTGTCTGTCTGTCTTATACCAGCGACACCTGACTTTATTTCTTACTGCTTTAATATCCACTTTGAGACCTGGAAGAACAAGACCACCCCCATCACTTTATATTTTTAAAGTGTTCCTAAATATCTTTTGCATTTATTCTCCAAGATTAATTCATTACATGTCAATTACATCTGAATAAAAAAAGGTTAATTCATTATTCATTTTATCAAGTTCCAGAAAAGTCTCATTGAGGTTTTTACGGGAATTACATTGAAAATATTAATTTAGGAAGAATTAATATTTTATGATATTTTTGTCTTCTTATTCAAGAAAAGAGTGCATCACTCCAATTTTCGTCCTTCAAATTTTTCTTACAGAATTATATACATTTCTTTATATTTGTCTTGTACATTTCCTGTTTATTTCTGAGTATTACATTTTGTCATTTCTAATAAAAATATGATATTTTTCTATTTTTAAAAAACTGGACATTATTAGTATATAAGAAAGCTATCACCATTTCTATATTTGTTTTATAAGCCACTACTATCTTTAATTCTTCTTGTTTTTAAATTTTTAATTTATGTGTTCGGGTTTGCCAATTAGGCACTTGAAGTACATTTCACAACAGATAACTCCCATTTGACCCTGGTGGATTTTTACATTATCATTGTTTTATTTTGTTTGTTTATCTCTTCTTGAGTCAATCCTGGTGATTTATAATGTCCAAGATCATTTATTTACATCTTCCAATTTTTTATATAGATTGAACATTTACTTACAAGTTTTCTGATTTTCTCCATCTGTGTTTTCCCTTTCTTAGGTACCGATTTTCTGTTTTAAATGATCTGTCTTTCCTTGCAAAGGTTTTAATTTTATTATCCTTGTTGTTGAGACTTTAAATTTATTTGTTAACTCTATCTTTCTAGTTCGTTAACATATACACCTGTGTCTTTATTAAACTCTTTCTTCTGCTTTCTTTAGATTTGTTTGTTATTTCCTTCAGTTTCTTGAATGCTTAATTTATTCATTTTTACTATTTCTGGTTAGTATTTAAGACTATGCCCTTTCTTTTAAGTGCTGATTTTTTTCCAGATCCAATGGGATTGCTATATAGTTATAGAACAAAAATACATTTTTTTCTATATGTTCTATAGATAATGTGTATGCCATATAAAATACATAACATATATTTAAATATATTAAATATAATATATAATCATATCATACGTGGTTTGTACTCTTCCTACATTTGAAATGCATTGCTGTTTTTCTCGGGCCCTGTCCGTGGTCAATTTTGTGACTGTTCTCGGGGTCCCGGGGAAGAGGGCACATACTCAGTTTGATGAATGTCTAGCAGCTCATTGCACTCAATTCTATTTCCCGGGGATGAGTCTCTAATTCTGGTTTGTGTTCAGGGCAGTTGGCAGCCATGCACAGAAGCTGAGACGTGTCTGGTGGTGAGTGAGCACCAGGGCTGGGGAAGCCGACGCTCGCAGTCCCGTGTCCCCGTGCAGTCCAGGCCCCCGGGGACTCGCTGGAGCTCAGCAGCAGCAGGGCTGGAAGCAAACATAAAGGGCCTCTGAGCGGCCAGAAGGAAAGCCAGTGGCATGTGCTGCAACGCCCGGACTTAGCAGGCTCACGCCCCGAGGCCCTGCCCGTGCCCTCCGCACGTACGCTGCCCTTCACCTCCGAGTGGACTTGGTTATTAGGCTTCCTGGCGCATCGAGGATTAGGAGGGAAAGTTCACAGGTGAGGGAGCCAAGTACACGGTTGACTGCGAGTTACAAGAAGCAGCAGTCCGTCCTCCCTGAGCAGAGCACAGAGCACAAGAGCCCGGCCACCCGAGTGCGAGTCCGTGCCTGGCACCTCCTGGCGCCACTCTGCTCTGCTCCAGCCGGCTCCGGCCCTGGGGGAGGGGGTGGCAGCCGTCCCTGGTCCCAGCTCCATCAAGGGCTTCTGGCTGGGTTTGGCCCGAGAGACACGTTTTCCTGGAGGGAGAGGGGGTGAGGTGGCCGTCGCCTCCCTCCTGCCCTGTTTGATCTCTAGGTCCCAGGGGCCTCCCTTGCTCCTCAGGACGAGGGGTGGTATTTACTACCTGGAAGAGCATCGTCTCTGGTGACTTCCTTACCCCCAGCCCAGACATTTGGAATTAGTCCCTTTAATATACTTCTCTCTCAAATGATCCAATTTGGATATTCTCTCTGTTTCCTAAACCCTAACAGATGCAGAGCTGGTAGGAAACTGGGGAATAAGTCAGTCCAACCCCCTCATCTTTCCATTGGGAAGTGACATGCTCAAAGTCACACAGGAAGTTCATGGCTAGCTAGAAGCAGAATTCGGGTCTCTGGGGTCTTAGCTTGCCTTTCTTGCCTCTCCACCATCCTTTCTTTGGATCAAATTTTGTTACATATATGGGGCTAGAATTGACTTATAAACAGGCAAGAATATGAAAAGTAAGTCAAAGATTTACCACCCCCTTCACTGGAATCAGGCCCAGCTAATCTGATCTTTTGAGTCATTTTAGGGGAGTGGGAGGGAAAGTAGGCATATGTGCTCTGCATCTCATTTTAATTCGATATTTTTCTTTTTTCCCCCTTATCCTTATTTTCTAATTTTTTAATGAAAAGTTACTATAGTGAACAAATAGGACAGGGACATGTACAGACTTTTGAGAGATGCTCGCGGGTAAAAATTTCTGGTGCTTGAAAGAGAAAGCAAATCTTCAGCTATTTGCAGAGTTCACCTCCCCATAATGGCACAGTTACAGAGATTTCCAGAATATTCTGGAGGAGAGGTTTTACTGAGTTGCTAGGTGAGGAATAGTTCCCAGCCCTGTATTGATTCTTTGGGGTAGGTTTGTTGTGCAGTCTAAAATGAGAGAAGCTTTTAAGAAAGTGGATTCAGAGAGGAATTTTAAGATAAAAATATTATCATTAGGCTGATTTGCTGTTTTCAGTCAAAAAAGAAAATCAATGAAGAAATTTTTTTCTTAAGAGGGAGGTGTCCAAAGTGGGTAAAAATAACTTCTCAGTATGTCCGCACCCTCCCGAATCTAATACACTGCACGGTTCCTTAAACTCGTTGGGAAGGAGCCCAAATGCACTGAGAATGAACCCCCAGGTCAGCTTCAGGGTCTAGTTGGTGTAGGCTGAAGTCTCTAACAAACGAATCCTAAAGATGGCAGCTCAAATTCAGTCGAGGTTTGGTTCTCTCTCATCTAACAGTCCAGGATTGCTGTACTGTCTTCAGGCTATTCTTACCGCAACTGGGTATTGCTTATCAACAACAAACATTTATTCCTCACCGTTCTGGAGGCTGGAAGTCCAAGATCAGCGAGCCAGCATGGCGGGTTCTGGTGAGGGCTGGACGTTGAGCCTGCTTCCCATTCAGCCAAACGCTGGCCCCCGAGTGGCTCCCCACTCGACTTCCTACTTTGCCCTGACCGTTCCTACCTCCCCCTTGCAGCCCCTGCCCAGGTGCCGTAGCTGGCTCCCTGCTCCTCCAGGGATGTCCAGGGCCCTGATTCTCCAAGGCTCAGGGTGCCGCCTGACCTCATCAGGCTCCTTCTCCTCGGACAGGTTCCTGGCAAGTAGCAGATGGCACATTCTGGGTAACAGGAGAGTTTACTAAGAGGACCACTTACAAAGCTGAGTCAGGGTGTGGGGAAGCCACAAGGGGTGGCGCAGCTTCCTGGGGCCAGTAACAGTGGGGTGCTGTTTCCACACTGGCCGGAAGGGGCAGGGGCTAGAGCCAGAGACAGGGCCAGGGGCCCGGGGCTGTCACCTTCAGTACAGGGACACACACAGCCCACCGTGATGGGGCAGAGTGAGAACTGGGGAGTCAACACCCCAGTTTCTCCCTCCCCCCATCTCCTGCTTTATTTCCTATTGGCTAAACCCAGTAGATAGGCAGGGGGCTGGGAGCCTGCCAACCAGGTCCCTAAAGGCCAGCTCCTGGGACGCAGAGCCGGGTGGGGAAAGGTGGTGGGTGAGTGTGGAGGAGCAAGTGCAGGTGGTCCAGCAGCATCCTCGAACCAGACCCACGTGTCGCTGGTCCTCTGGTGAGAGCATGACTGCACAGGGAGCTCAGGCTCTGAGGTCTGGGGTGAGTGGGGGCCCAGGGAAGACCACGTGCACCCTTTTGGAGTCCCGCAGTGGTGATGCTTCCCTGGCCAGAGCTAAAGGTGCCAGGGCTCAGGGGTAAATCTGCTGGGCCCAGGCACCCTGACCTGCAGAAGGGCTCAAACTGGTGCTGAGAATTCTCTCCCTCTGATGCTGCTTTTCGTCCGCCCCATGGGTCCTCAGCTTCTCTGGCCTTGCTTTGGGGCTGACATGCTGGTCTTCACCAGCTGCTCACGGGGATGGGGGGCGTCGCTGGCAACTCTCGCCCACTTGGGCTCAGCATCCCGGCCACTCTGCCTTGGACTCCTCCAGAGCAGGCGGCGTTCACTGCTGGGCTTCAGAAGACTAAGACGGCAGGAGTGCAGGTCGGGGCTTCATCCCAGTGCCGAGCAAAGGCCAACGGAATGGACGAAAGGACGTCTGTTCCCGCACCTGTGATCACACATCTCCTCCTCTGGCAGCAACACGTTCCCACGTCTCAGTCCACATGGTTCGGAGGAAGAGTGACTCCACCTCCAGCTCCAGGCCTGACCAGTCAGAACGCTCCATCCCTCTGGTCTTCCTGAATGGACCAAGGATGGTCATGTGGTCCAAGCCAGGTGCTGGGGAGGCTGAGACCACGTGATGTGAACCCGGGCGCAGCGGCAGCCTTCTTGCTGCCATGAGTGAGATTCCAGCCCACGTGAGAAAAGCAGAGATGGTGGGTGGAAGGAAAGAGACTGGGTCTAGATGGTGTTATTTAACCGAATGGATCCAGCTGGACCCGAATCTGCTCTTCAGTTAAATTAGCCAGGGAGCTCCTCCCCCCCGCCCCTTTTTTTGTCTAGACCAGTTGGATTTTCTGGCACTTGCATCCAGAAGAACCTTCATTAGTAGAGCTGAAAGCAAGTGCACAGAATGGCTCTGCCTTCTGGGTTTGCCACGTGCGGCTCAATCTGGAGACATCAAGTATTGACGTGGCCGATCTAGGAGACCGCTCTCCCCACTGAGCCTATTCACAGTGAAGAAAGGGAGGCCCGGGAAGGGGGACAAACTCGGAAAGGCTCATGTGTCCACCCACAGCGACTTCAGGGTGTCCACAGGGCCTGGTGCCAGGTGCCAGTGGCTGGCAGGCTGCATCCCGCTCTGCACCCTGGCCAGTGTGGCATATTGTGGGAAAAATGCCCTCCACTCCTGGGGAAGGATTTCAGAGCCTGACAGTGGGATGCTCCGTCTAGCGTTTGACGACAGATAAGACAGCATATGCGAGGGGCCATGGTGTGCAGGAACCTGAGGGCAGAACCCAGAGCTGCGCAGAAACACAATCTGAGCTTTGGATGCCCCTGTATTTTGTTCTGGGTCACATCGCTTCTCGGCCTTTTGGCTAAGATCAAGTGTTGTTCTGGGTCACTGGTTGCCGCCTGCTGACTGTCAAGGAAGAAGGTTGAATCTGCCGGGGTATTCTTATTTGCTGGGGTGAGTGGATATTCGCCTGCGACCTGGGCCCTCCAGTTCTTAACCAGATATGCAGTGAGTCACGGATCCAGGCGGGAGGTAAGAGGTTTTTGTTTCCACTTGTTCAAACCCTCTGAATCCTCTTGATGTTTGCTGGCAAGAATTTCAGAGCATGGCCTCTTAAGTGCAAGCATGGGCTTTCTCTTCTAAGGGAGGGACTGGATCCCACATTTCTGGGTGCTGACTGTGGAAGGGCAGGAAGAGGGGAGCCTTGTGCTCCCTCGAAGGACCAACACTGTCCTCCCAGCTGTGTGGGCCCCTGGGGTTCACTCCTGAACGGCACTGGGTTCTCGTGATGTCCAGAATGTGAGGGTCTTCCCACCGTCATATCTTTCCTTTAGCCCGAGGGTTTACCTTTCCCTCCACCTCCTCCCTCTGTCCCCAGGATTCTGACATCTCAAAACTGAGCTTTCTAGGTTTCTTTCGTGGTCATTCCTCGTCAGGTTGCCAAGTGCACAAGCAGGTGTCTTCCTAGAACTGAACTTCAGTTTTATTTTGAGCCCGATTTTGATGGGAGGCAGACAGTAAATCCAACTGGTTCGGGTTTTCAGTTCATGGAGTCCCACTTCTCTTTTCTTTAGTGTTGTGTGTGACCGCTGGGCGGTGGTGGGCCCGCCCCCTCCCAAGGGTGGGAGGCCTTCGACATCAACAGTGACACTCCGAGCATCCATGGAGATGCTCTTTGTCCTGTTGGGACTGTGGTCCCCAGTACATGGGCTTTTCAGACCCCGCTCTCTCCCAGCAGCTCTGTACCACCTCGGGCAAGGGACATTTGCCTGGCTTACCCCTCCTCTATTTTGCTTCCGGGGGAGTGGAGAACCCGCAAGCTTCCTTGGATGGTTGCCTAGACACCCTACGGAGTCAGCTCTGCACTGCTGCCCTAGCCCCATGCTGGGTGGGGGAGACCCCCGGGAGAGAACCCGTCTCCCCAAACTCCACCTGGAAAAGAGGCGTGGTGCCCCCTGGGCTGTAGCATTTCCCTCGAACAGATCCAAGGTTTCTGCCGTGTCCTCTTTCATGGCGCTCGGTCCAGGAGTGTGGGGGGCGCATGCCCACCGTCTTGGGGACCCACTCCACCTCCTGACTCTCCTGATTGCCTCTGAATTCTCCCCATCTTCCAGCCCAGGGATTATATAATGGGAAAAAATATTCAAAAATATACACTAGCTTGAATAATAGTGGTGAGAGTACTTGTTCTCACCATGTTCTTGATCTCAGCGGGGAGAGCATTCAGGCTTTCACCATTAAAGTCTAACATTAGCTGTGGGTTTTTTTGTTTTTGTTTTTTTAATGGATGTTCTTTATCAGGTTGAGGAAGTTCCTTTTTATTCCTGGTTTTCAGAGGGATTTTGTCATGCAATGCCAAAGTGTTGAGAATTTCTTCAAATATTTTTCCACATCAGTTGATAATAAAATGGGATTTTTCTCCTTAGTCTCTTAATAGGGTGCATTATTAACGTGGTAGATTGCTAATACAGTTGATGGGCTTTCACATACCGAACCAACCTGTGTCCCTGGGGGAAACCCCATTTGGTCCTGGTGTGTAATTCTCTTTATTTGTTGCTGGTTTCTAGTTGTTAATATTTTATTAAGGATTTTTGCGTCTATCTTCATGGAGGAGACTGACCTGTAGTGTTCCTGGTTTTTTTGTTTTTTGTTTTTTTAAAGATTTTATTTATTTATTTGAGAGAGAGAGAATGAGAGACAGAGAGCATGAGAGGGAGGAGGGTCAGAGGGAGAAGCAGACCCCCCGCCAAGCAGGGAGCCCGATGCGGGACTCGATCCCGGGACTCCAGGATCATGACCTGAGCCGAAGGCAGTCGCCCAACCAACTGAGCCACCCAGGCGCCCAGTGTTCCTGTTTTGACTTGTATTTGTCTGATTTTGTTATCGGGGTAATATTGGTCTTATAAAGTGTCTTCTCTTATTTTCTGGAACAGATCGTGTAGCACTGATGTTAATTCTTAGCAATTCAACATAGTACTGGAAGTTCTAGATAGCTCAATAAGGCCAGAAAAGGAAATAAAAGTCATACAGATCAGAAAGGAAGGCATAAAACTTGACCTGTTTGCAAACAACATGATGATCCACATAGAAAATCCTAGGGAATCTATAAAGAAAAAATAATCTTTGAAGTAAGAAGCGAGTTCATAAAAGTTGCAGGATCCAAGATCAACCTATAAAAATTAATTATATTTCTATAAAATGGCATTAAGTACACGAAAAACAAAATTGAAAATACGGTACCATTTACAATTGCTGTAGGGGGCGGGGAGGGAATAGTATATTAGTCTGCAGAACCAGGGAGGGGCTGGTGTAAGTCCCGGTCTGCGTCCGAAGGCCCGAGAACTAGGAAGGAGCATCAGTGTCCGAGGGCAGGAGGAGACGGAGGTCTGGGCTTGGGCAGAGAACAAATTCACCCTTCCTCCACCTTTGTGTCTTAGTTAGACCCTCCGTGGGTCCGATGCTGCCCCACCCCCACTGGTCAGCGTGATCATCTTCACCTGGTCCACTGATTCAAATGCTCCTCTTTTCCAGAAACACCCACACAGACACGCCCAGAAATAATGTTTTACCTGCTGTCTGGGCGTCCCTCAGCCCAGGCACTGTGACACATAAAATGAACTGTAAGCCTATAAGCCTAGAAAATTAGCTATAAATAACTGTCAGTTCATTACAAGTCTAGCAAGATACAGGTGTAGGACTTGTATACTTAAAACTGCAGAGGCCGATGACAGGCATCTAGAATATCGAAATGGTGGCCATGGTGCTCATGGCCTGGAAAGTTCATTAATGCTAAGATGCCGGTCCTCTCCCTGACTGACAGGAGTGATGCAATCCCTATCAACGTTCCTACAAGACTTCCTGTAGTACAGACAAGATAACTCTAAAATTTACATAGGAAGGTAAAGGACCTAGAATACCTGGAACAATTTTACAAAGAAGAAAGTGGAAGAAGTCAGTCCACCCAATTTTAAGATGTTACATAGCTGCGTGATGTTGGTGGAGGGAGAGTGACATAGACTAGCGGAACCGAAGAATCCAGAAATGGACCCAAACAAGCTCAGTCAACTGATTTTTGAGAACAGTGCAAAGATGCTGGAGCAGTCGACACCCAGAGGCAAAAATACGGACTTCGATAGAAACCTCACATTGTGTACAGAAAAGGTAACTCAAAAAAATGGATCATAGGTACAAATGTAAAACCGTTAAACTTTCGGGAGAAAGCAGGACACAGGGCTTGGTGAAGAGTTCTCAGGTTTGACAACAAAAGGGCCGTCTGTTAAAGAAAAATCAATACTTTGGACAGCGTTGAAGTCAAACTTGATTCTGTCAAGAGGAGAAAAGGACAAGTTCCAAACAGGGAGAAAATATTTGCAAATCACATATCTGACAAACGATTCACATCTAGAATATTGTGAAAAAACCTCCCAACACTCAGTAGTCAAGCAACAAACAACATAACTGGAAAACGGACAAGGACCGAGAGGGGACAATGTGCTGAGGAGGGCGTGTGGATGGCCAAGAAGGCCTGGCTGGTGGGGGGGTGCCTAGTTGGGGGCAATGCCAATTACCGTGATGAGCTGTCATCACACACCCATTAGAACAGTTAAAATAACAAATAGTGACAATACCAAATGGTGGCCGGGATGGGGAAAGACAAGATCTCTCCTATGTTGCTGGTGGGAACCAGGAACGGTGCAGCTACTCTGGAAGAGTCTCGGGCTTTCTTACAATTTTCTGTATGTGCTCACCACACGACTGGGCGTTTATCCCAGAGAAATGAAAACTTAAGTCCATGTAAACCTAACCTCTGCCCAAAAATGCTTACAGCAGCTTTGTTGCCATAACCCCAGGCAGGAAACCACCAGAACGTCCCTCGGCGACGTTGACCAATGGTGCTGTGTTCCTGCTGTGGGGTTCTACTCGGTGATGAGAAGCAACAAGCTGTTGATTCACCCAATGACCCGGACGAACTTGGAGGGCACTCGGCTGAATGGAAGCAGCGTGTGAGCGTTACAGAGCATCCCCAAGGTGACAGAACACTGCGGGTGGGAGACAGGGGAGTGTGGCCAGGTTTGTGTGTGGGAGGGATGCAGTTTGGGGTTGGACTCCTACTTTCTGGATCCCGCGTTTTTCTCTTTCTTGTTTTACATTCGATACCCAAAGAAACGGTGTGTAGGAAATATGACATTCAAGGTTTGGGATGTCTGAAAGTGCCTTTAATCTGCCATTCCTCCATTGATAATTTGGCTGGGGATAGACTTTTAGGTTGCAAATGATTTTTTTTTTAAAGATTTTATTTATTTATTTGAGAGAGAGAGCAAGCACTAGCAGGGGGTGGGGAGGGGAAAGGCAGTGGGAGAGGGAGAAGCAGGCTCCCCGCCGAGCAGAGAGCCCAATGTGGGACTCAATCCTGGGACTCTGGGATCATGACCTGAGCCTAAGGCAGACGCTTAACCGACTGAGCCACCAGGCGCCCTGGTTGCAAATGATTTTCTTAGAAAATTTTGAAGGCGTTGTGCCACTTACTGTCAGGAACACCGAAGCCCTTATGGTTCTTCTTCCTTTGTCATCTGGTTGTTTTGGGGGTTTTTTTGTCTGTTTGTTTCTCTTGGTCTTCTTTTGTTGCTGATACTCTGAAAGTCCACAGTAAAGCACACTACCCACGCTTTTGAAATTCAAAACAGCTTTCTCTAATATCTTTGCAAGGAGTTCCACAAGTGTACTTTGTAACTCAAAGTGCCCAGCCCCACCGTGGACTCACAGACCCCCTCTGTGTTTACATTAGTTTTGTTTTTGCCTGAAAGGTGCTAACCAACCCATCCCCACTTGTACACCCCCCCCAGACTTGGCTTTAGACGCCTAGCCAATGGAAACCTCCTCCAGGATTCCTTCCCCGATTTCAACTGCCCAGGCCAAGAGTACTTCCTCTCCTCCTCTGAGTTCCATAGTGCTTTGTGCAGCCACAGTAGGAGGGGGATTAGGGTAGCCACCTGTGCCTGTTTGCCCAAGACCAAGGGGCTCACAGGACCCAGGACTTGGGGTGCTAAAATTGGGAAAGTTCTGGGCAAACCCAGATGGGCCTGTCCCCGTGTGGGGGCTAGAACATGGAGCGTGGCAGACAGAAGATGCGCAGGAGAATGCATGGACGGACCAAATGGCCTTGGGCCTCTTTGACCCTCTGCATCCAGATCTGCGAAATGGCACTCGAGTCAGCCTGGCGAGGTCCCGAGGACAGTGACAGCTCTCACATGGGGAAGCTTTTTGCAGATGCGGTGCCATGGGAATGTGCGCTGTGCTCGCATTCCTTCCCGTGGTCTGTTCCACGGGGGCGCATGTGAATGCTCGTGTCGTTTTCCCTCCTGGACCCGGAAACCTGCAGGGATGAGCCCCCACCCCCCATCCCCCCCATAAATCAGAGGATGGGCCATTCTTTGCAGCGGTGTGAATTTGCATCCCAGCAGGCATGTGCAAGAACAACCAGTATTTTATTTTTGTAAATCAAATTAAAAATGGGCATGAGCTCCCAGTCCCTGCGGTTGAGTCACTGCCGGGAGCAGCTCCTCGTTAGGGTGAGCAGGGACGGTTGGCACAGGCCAGAAACGTCAGCAGAGCTGTGTTCTTCTGTCCCATATGGTCACTACTGCGGGCTTACGCTTGAGCCCAAGGGGGAGAGTCCGGGGGAGGGTGGTTCCTTGGCCTCCACCCCGAGCCAGGCTCTGAGATCGTTTGCAGCGGCCTGGGTTTCAGTCCCTGGTACCCACGGGCCACCCAGGGGAGGGTCCCGCTCCTCTCCACCCGGGCGCTGCACGCTTCCGTGCTCCTGGTGTGCAGTATTACATCGGCTTGTGAGAGCCGGCTGTTGGCACCGCCCTTCCCAACTTCCTACGTGGTGCCTGAAACCGGCCACGCAGGAAATCTTCACAGCACAGAAATCAGTCCACGCCGCAAGTCAGGACCCAGCCCCACGGCTGAGAGTAGGGGGCTGGCTGTTACCAGCGCACCTCCCGCCACACCGGCTCCCTGTCTCTGGGCTGGGTGGGGTGCTGAGCCTCTGCCCGGCCTCCCAGACCCCCTTCCTGTGCACGACAAGCCCTTGTGTCCAGAGCCCAGACTTGAGAAAACCCACCCTCTCCTCGTTTCCCTGGGGCAGATCCCCGGAGGCCTGCTGGCTCTCTGGAGAGAAGGGGGGGTGCCTCTCCTTTTGGGTTTTGCCACGTTCTCCTCCAGCCACGTCTGCGGCATGGTGCTCTGGTCCCAGCGGAGTGAGTGGAAGCTGGGGTCCCACTCCGGCCCCCCGGGCGCCCCTCATGCCTGCCCCCACGCACACCGCCACGGGGCCTCGCTCCCCTCTCTGCTGCACCGCCCGACCTCTCGCCTTCGGGAGCTCTTTATGTAACCAGGCACTAAATGTTCCATCTTGGACGCTGACTCCAAGGAATTGCTCATTTTCAGATACTTATGCCTTAAACCGAAGACCAAATACTGCTGGTTCCTGCCTCCTGTCTCTTCACGGCATCATTAGTCGTTTTCAGGAGCTGCGTTCTGTAAGTGGATCTGCTAGCTTGTCACTGCTGAGTTCTGAGTTACCAGTGACACCTGAGGAAAAGCCCAGAATAGCTCCAGCCAGCCAGCAGTGTGTGTGCAGGGAGAGAGGAGACTCACGGATTTACGGGGCACCGTGGGGCTCTCTTCTACAAACCCCAGCAAAAGCTTGTATCTTTGTCCAAGGAGGTACGAACACTTTGCTGCTTATAGATCCTTCCCAGCTCTCCTGTGAGGAGGACGCCAAGCAGAAGTTGGTGCTGTCAGGCTGCAGATGGGTACAACCGAGGCACGGGACAGTCGTCACAACTTCAAGAAAATTAAGTTCTTTATAAGTAGGAGCTCTGAATCCAATAGATGCAAGGGAAGTAGTGAAGTGGGAAGAGTGAATCATGTGTTCACACATTCATTTATTCAACAGGCTTCAGTGAGCCCCTGTGTTGCCAGGCTTTTTGCCAGGATGGGGAGAGATACAAAGATTAATAAAGCAGGACTCCCACTCTCAAAAACCCTAAGTCTGGTTGAAGAAGCAGATGCTTCAGCAAATAATTTCAGTGTTATATGTGCAGGGCCGCCCTGTACAGTTGCTCAGGTGCTTCACTGCACAAATGTGCTTGGCTGAAGGGGCAAGTGGGACCTGAAATCTAGCCTTAGTCTGCTGGCCAAGCCTTTGCCCTGGTGAGGAGCAGGGTCTGTCCAAGAAAGGGGTACCTTTTTCTGGTGGTGAAAAATGTAGGTGAGCTCTGCTGTAGCCATGGGACCCTAGTCCCACATTTCTGTAGCATCATCTCCCATAAACCATTCCAGGTACTAATCACAAATGGATGGCAGACCCTGTGCTCCCTCCCTCCCTGGGCCTCAACCTCCCCTCTGCAGTGTGGGGGTGAGCCTTCTTGTACCAGTCTAGGTGAGCGTGATTTCTTGCAGAGAACCCTCGGGGTGATGATTCCTGCCTTTACTCCTGTAGGTGTGATATTCAGTAAAGGAAGGATATTCCAAAGGGGGAGTCCTGGACTTTAATCAGGACAGAAGGGCTGCCTGAGCCCCTGTGCCCAAAAGGTGGAGTACGTCATGCCCAGTACTGGAGACCATTCTGGGGGCAGCGTGATGGAAGTACGGGGCATTGGAGGTCCGAGGGGTGGGGATGGGTGTACAGAGGTCTGCAGGGGGCCCCCACAGACTCCAGCTTGTGGGTTCCAGACTCCTGATGTTTCTTTTTTTTTTTTTAAAGATTTTTTATTTATTTATTTGAGACAGAGAGAATGAGAGACAGAGAGCATGAGAGGGAGGAGGGTCAGAGGGAGAAGCAGACTCCCCGCTGAGCGGGGAGCCCGACGCGGGACTCGATCCCGGGACTCCAGGATCATGACCTGAGCCGAAGGCAGTCGCTTAACCAACTGAGCCACCCAGGCGCCCCTAGACTCCTGATGTTTCTTTAAGGAAAAGGACAGACTAAGAAGTAGGCATCAAAACAGGGACCGGGTCAGCATGGACACAGGGGGCAGGGTGCAGGGGCCTTGGGGACACTTGGCACAGCCTTTCCTGGGTCTCAAAGGGGTCAGGCACCTGCTGGGCCTGCTAGGACCCAAGGAGGCCAAGAACCGGGGCAGGGCGGGAAACCGCCCTTGACCGAGATAAAGACAGCGTGGTGCTGCGGACGGAGCTTGGGCAGGGGCCAGCCAGACACCTGGGCTCACCCCAGTCCCAGGACCGTGAGCCTGAGTGCCTTTGGATCCTGCCCAGGCTCCATTTTCCCTCAGCGTCCAAGATGGAACATTTAGTGCCTGGTTACATAAAGAGCTCCCGAAGGCGAGAGGTGGGGCGGTGCAGCAGAGAGGGGAGCGAGGCCCCGTGGCGGTGTGCGTGGGGCCAGGCATGAGGGGCGCCCGGGGGGCCGGAGACACGGTCGTCTCCGCTCTGCAGAGTGCCTGTGAGCACAGGGCCTGGCTCAGGAAACGTTCCTAAGTGACAGTGTGTGTGAGTCTGAGCACAATGTGCTGGAGTGCGGCCCAGGCCCGAGCAGCAGGCTGCTTCCTGCGGGGCGTGAGGGGACCCCCGCCTGTCCTCCAGCTATCAAAGCGCCTCCTTCTGCTGCACATCTGGATGAAGGGGCTGGGCGTCCAGCCTCTGTTACGGCTGCGTTTACTAGAAGGATCCTAAGCGAGCCCATTACCAAGGTTGTGTTCTAGAGACGGTGACAAGCTCTACCCAGGTAGCCGGGGACGGGCTTCTATTTTGGGCACAGTGTCAAAGATACTCGCAGCGTGCTGTCACATGGGAACTGCACAGAGACGGCGGGAGACGGAGCTTGGGCAGGAATCTCAGACCTCTGTGTGCGTCAGCCCGTCCAGGGGCGTTCAAACCCGTGGGCTCCGGGAGTTGCGGAGGGAGGGAGGGCGGAGCATGCAGCTGTCGCGGGGGTGGGGACTGGCGGGGGGAGTCCGCCCGCTGTGCCCTGGGCTCCTCCCTGAGGCACAGGCGGGGGCTTACCCCTTCGCGGAGTGGTTCCTCAGGGCGCTGTCGGCAGATCAGGACTCTGGTCTGCTCCAGTCTTGCAAGGGTGCCCGGCATACAGTCGTGGTGAAGCAAATGAAGACCATTTCCTCTTGGAGGAGGCGTGGGGTTTGGTCCAGAGGGGATGGAAAGATGAGCCTGGGTGGGAGAGAAGCCCACTCTGAGCGTCCACCCTGTCTGCATCCTCTCAGTATGGGAAGCCCAGGGCCCGAGGCTTAAGATCGACTGGCCGATGGATGGGAGGAAGGCAGGGAGGGGCAGAAGTCACCAGCAAATCCCGTTCAGGGTTCTCTGCCCCTATTAGTGTATCTGCATGGCTGGTTCAGCACTCGTGGCTGGAGGGGCCGGAATGCAGAGACCTCACAGCGGGCCCCCAGGCACCCTGTGATATTCATGGATGCTCCATTGTCCTAGTGAGGAGAACTCAGGCCTCTGGGACACTAAGGGTCAGTCACCTGGGATCCCAGAGGTCAAAGGTTAAACACTGGTGTAGACTGATGGTGGGTGCACATCTAACCTCATCGGGTGGGGATCTGGGCTGCTCGGGACCCCTGGCCAACACAGGGCCTGGCAGGGAGTAGGGGACCATCGATACTGGGAGGACCGTTGGTTGATTGGAGGGGAATTACATCACCGATCAAGACTCCCCTGGATAGATGAACCATGAGAGACGGTGGACTGTGAAAAACAAACTGAGGGTTCTAGAGGGGAGGGGGGTGGGAGGATGGGTTAGCCTGGTGATGGGTATTGAGGAGGGCACGTTCTGCATGGAGCACTGGGTGTTATGCACAAACAATGAATCATGGAACACTTCATCTAGAACTAATGATGTAATGTATGGGGATTAACATAAGAATAAAAAAAAAATTAAAAAAAAAAAAAAGACTCCCCTGGAAATTCAGAGCTAAAACTGTAATGACCTTTCGTAACTGCCTGGGTCCTTAGGATGGGCGTTTCCGGGTGCTGACTTCTGATCTGACATCACCTTGCTTGGTGGATGTTTTTTGTACTGACCCAGGTAATGGATGCTTATAATACATGCTAAGAATCACACTTTCCCTTGTGACTCAAAGCAAACATGGGGTACACTGAGGGCTAGACACGCTAACTTGGTGCAATTTCCGGAAGACAGAGTGGTGCAGGGCAGCAGATGATGTTTTGTCTTGTCAGGACTGGCCTGTGGTGGGAACTCTCGGGTGAGGTCCTGGGGACTCCTGGGGCTCACGGCTGCCAGGTGGCCAGTGACGGCTCTGCCATGAGTGGACCCGGGCTATGGCTAGTCTGCACAGAATGTTTGCAAATCAAGAAAATGTGCCCCTCCAGGGGACTGCAGCACCGTGCAAAGGAGAGTTGGCTGTGTTTCAGCCGCCTCATGCGCCCTTGGTTGAGCATCTCTTTTTTTTTTTAGATTTTATTTATTTATTTGACAGAGAAAGAGAGCACAAGCCGGGGGAGGGGTGGGAGAGGGAGACTCCCCGCTGAGCAGGGAGCATGACACGGGGCTGGATCCCAGGACCCTGAGATCATGACCTGAGCTAAAGGCAGATGTTTAACTGGCTGAGCCACCCAGACGCCCCTTGGTTGAACATCTTTGTACAATAAACAACCTGCACCACTGTACATGCTGGGCCTTGAATGGAAAGGTCTCTAAGGCAGAGAATGTCTCACTTCCCTTGGTAGCTGGGCTCTTTCCTTTGAGCCTGCCCAGCACACAGGACCTCTTGTAGTCAGTTTGCTTCCCTCAGCCTTAGCAGTGTCTGCTCAGCCCTTTGGAAAACACGACTGGGAGGGGACAGAGCGGCTAAGGAGGAGGGAACACTTATCAGGTGTCTAGTGTGTGCTAGACTGTGGGCCAGGTGCTGGGTTATAAAGGGGAGCGAGACCTGGTTCTTTCCCTACAACCTGACAAAGATACGGGGCCAGAGAGCACGGCACGGCCTCCGGACTCGGCAGCAGCTTCTCAGAGGACATCCTCCAGGACTGGCGAGCGAGCAGGGCAAGTAAGGGCAGGGCCCCCCGGTGGGGAGAGGGGCCTGAGCCAAGGCGATGCTCCCGGACACCGCATGGCTGGGTTGGGGGCAGAGGCCGCCACGGAGGCGCTGGTGTCCCTCTCCCCCTGCCCGGCTGGACCCAATGTCTCCTGTCCTGTGATGCCGTCCTTGGCCTCCCCGGGTCCCTTCCCGTAGGTATCCCATGCGTACATACACATTTCCGGTGGCACCTGGACAGCAGTCATCCACGCCTGGCCTCTCCCGGGGGTCACGGGCCGCTCTGCCTCGCCACAGTGTCCTCTCTGTGCGCAGTGCGGGGCTGGCGTCGGGTGTGGAGCGGGTTTTGGGGGAGGGGTGCGGCAGAGCAGGTGCGGTGAGGCGGGTCTGGAGTGGCTCTTGGGAGGCCCTGGGCCGGGGGGCGGAGGGCAGGCACGGCCCCCATCGCCAGGTTCGGGCAGAGGTGACATCAGGGTCAAGGTCGCTCCTGCTCTGCGGTGGGACGCTGGGGTGGGGGGCTCTGACCCTCTGGCTCCACACGGGCGCCCCCGGAGTGCACAGGGGAGGGTCCCGGGGAAGAGGCCTCAGGAGCGGGGAGGAGCCCAGGCCTGCCTCCGCCGGGGACTACATCTGACTACGGATGACAGACACACTTTGACCGAAGCCCAGAGCCCTCTCACTGGATAGGAAGTTCAGAGCTGGAACCCTCAGGTCAGCAGAGCTCCAGAAAATATCACCGAGCTCCCGTCCGTGTGTCTGTCTGAGCTTCATCTGAACGCACGGCCCTCGGTGACAGTGGGGTGGTCGCCGCGGGCCCCCGCAGGCCCACCAGCCCCGTGGCTGCGAGAGCTGTTCTTCCTGCCGTCACCGTCCTGGTGCTCCCGGGGCCCGCAGCTGAGGGGCTGGCTCCTACCAGCCACTGGCCCCTGACTGCCCTGGACCGTCCGGAGCCCGGCAGGCCACCCCGCCCACAGCTGGCGGGTGCCGGAGGGATGGTGGCCCCACTTCCAGCCCTTGGGCGGGGGGGTCAGTGTGCGCGGAGGAAGGGCGCCTTCCAGAGGGCCCGCACAGCGGCCCGGGGAGGGGGCTGGACGGAGGGGGTCAGTGGGGGGTGGTCAGCCTGCTCTGTGGGCGGGGGCTGGGGGGCGCAGGAGCCCGCACAGCCTGCTTCCAGCTCTCAGCCCACACACCACACGCGAACAGCCGTGCTGGGTCCGCGGGTGACCTCCTCAGATGGCACCACGTGGCTCTGGGCCCGGGTGACGACGGAGGGCCCGGCTCTTATTCGGAGGGACTCAGGGAGCTGTCTGTATGTTACCGCCCTCTGATCATCTCTGCCTGGACGTCTCAGTAGCGCCCCGAGCCCCCGCCGCCAAGCTGGCAGGCACATGGGGGACGGGCCGGGTCTCCCCAGCAGGGCTGGCTGCCAAGAGCGTGGACGAGTGGAAGCTACGCGCTTGCTCGGGCCTGGGCTCAGAAGTCGGAAGAGGGCTCTTCTACGCCAGGCCTGGGGCCAGCGCGGCCTCGAGCACAGGAGGAACCCGCTTTGACTCCCAGGTCAGGAGTGGCTGGTGGCCCCCTCGGGAGACAGGCCTCGCAGGCAGGA